TGCCTTGTGGTGCGACCAAATTCGGAGCGCAGAATGGATTAACCGTATTTACATCGAACCTTATGGGAAACTTTACCTCGACTTGCAACCAACTCGAGTTGGAACCAGAGTAACGGAACGGATTAAGTTCGTAACTAGAGGTACCACTGTACTTGCCAACAGTAAAGCTACTTTCTGAAGGGAAATTTCACCACGGAACAGGGATATGCACCAGCTCCACAAAAACATAGCCAAATATGTATGCCAGGAATGAACAGAATTGCTATAACATCAACTTAGTTGCAACACCGCCACCATGGAAGTTGGCATACTTTACAACCCAAATGCATGATGACATTCTTAGAAGGACTGTGCTCCATTTCATGGAGAAAAGTCTATGTAGTCTCCAAGTGTCAATTGCACAGAATCGATCAACCAATCTGTGCTCAATTACTAGAAGGTGAAGTCCTATCCAAAAGGTATAGGAAGCAAGAGGTGTAGTTAGAAGAATCATCTCCAAGTCACAAGACAGCAAACACAGAGATAGCAAAAACTGTGTCTCACCTATTCTTGCCCCACAGAACAATGAGATTAGACACGCAGGCTTCAACAGAGTTTCTTCTTCAAAAATGTACATTATATGCAGTTTCAAGCTATTGTAAGTAAAATATGCTTACAAAACTTCAGCTATTTCACCACTCTCAAGTCATTCTCCCTGAAAGTAATGCAATGTCAGCTCAGATTCACTTACAAAATAATTCTTTCTTATTGTTACATACACGGATCCAGCATGATTTTATGCACTTGGGTGAGAAAGATTCTTTAACAACTGTCATTTTTATTATACTAAATAAAATCCTCATTGACACTTGGAAGTAAGAAAAATTGTTCTTTTAATTAATCACTTCTGTATTAGAAACAGAATGCAATTTATCCTCAAATTCCTGCAGTTATACTCAACCACATTTCTACACATATTTATTCATTTTGCCACTGACGTAAGTTTTGCCTTAGATTCATATGACTCTCCCCCACTTAAATATAAGCAAGTCCAACCCTAACCCAGTGCCGCCCAAAGGTGTTAATTACAACTCCCATCAACCTCAGCTCGCAGGCCATCTGGAGGACATGAATTAGGGAAGGTGCACTCTTAATTACAGCAGTGTTTCCCAACTTTGAAGACTTCTGTATGTGTGGACTTTAACTCCCAGAATTCAACAACAGCCATGTGGCTGAGGAATTCTGAGAGCCAAAATCCACACAACAGGGAGGCACCTGAGTATGGAAACACTGTTGGGGGAATTCCTTCAAATGCCCCACTTCCCACATTAAAACATAGTCCTGTTACAATTAATTCCAGGGCAGTATGGAATCTATATGCACAGGACGCAAAGTGTTCTTTATTTAAGTAATCTCTTCCGAACCCAGAATCTAAAGGGAAGGATTAGCTACCTAGTGCTCCTAGACAGCAATGGAGAAAGAGAGTGGCGGCAGCCCAGTCTGTATTTACAAAATTAGTTTGTTTTAAAGTTGCACACAAGATGATCCAGAGTAATGGGGGAGACAGGACAGTTTAGTTCAGCGTGGCTCTTACATGCCATTCAATAGCTTTCAACTTAATTGTTTTGAATACTGAAGGAAAACTAGGGCAGAGAACTCAGTTCTATTAGACCAGTCCACCCTATCAATAGCTAAAACAATAGCAGGCTCTCTGGTGGATTATATGAGAACAGAAAGGGAAAAAACTGATGTCGTTAGGCCCAGGATATTTGGAAAGAACCTTGGAGTTGAGCTGGAAAAGTCAAATGGTCTAGTGAACTTCAACCTCAATAAGGTCCATGTCCAGTGTAGACTCTTCTATTAGCATATGTGATGTGGTTCCAACTGCTAGTCAAAACAGCAGCATCCATATTTGCTATGAGGTAGACATGATACCACTCTTTTCACTCTTCACTTTTAAGAATTCTGCCATGCTGGAGAAGTACTTCTGATTGGCTTCGGTGACCTTCTTCTCGGCTGCCTGTGGATTCACAATCTCCAGACCCTGCAAATGCGTAGCGGAAAAATGCATGGGTGAAGGAAAAACAAACAACATGCAGAGTTTACCCAATCTGGCACCCTTCAGCTGTGGAATTCTAGGAGTTGCAACTGCAAAACAGCCGAGAGCCTCAGGTAAGGGAAGGGCTGTAATAGACCCCAACTCCCCCAACCTGGAGACAGAGGACAGAAAATTGCTTACAGTGGTTTGGTCTGTTTTGTAAAAAGAGGACAAGGTAGCACATTCTTAGGTGGCTCGTATTCCTCCCAGGCATGACCTACACTTGCTAATACTAAAAACTTTAGGCAGGGCACAAGGGAAGAAATATCCATCTTTAGGATTACCGGGAAAATTATGTATTTCTCAAAATTCTACAGTACAGTATATCCACATTCCTAAAAGCTTATTATTAAAAGATACTTTTCTTCTCCCACAGTGCTTGGGTTGATTCATTTCCATACTACACCCCTGCTCCATTCTCCAAAATCAGAAAAATTTACCATTCCAAATTCTTTGGATGTACGCATACAAATTCCCTACTTTAGTGCTTCCCAGTCATGGGCGAGTAACTGGAAAGTGGAATGTAAGCTAAGAGCAATGCTTACCTGCAGTGGAGTGAAGGCCACACTGGAAGCTGTGCCTGAGGAACGGTCCCGGATGGTTGACTTTCCTCCGTACACCATGCTTTGCTTCTGGAGTGTGCGCTGGTTGGGACAAAAAAGGTGACATTTGGGGTTTTAATATATATGTAGTAGATAGAAATGGTAGGAATCAGGTATTCCAGATGTCCTCTGGGAACATCCCACATTTGCAGTCTTCCCTAGATCAGAATCCTAATTATAAGCTATGCTGTTAGAGAAGGCAGGTAATTTAAGGCCCACGAAAGCGTTCAGTCTTCAAGAAGTACTCCATCAAGATGGACGGCAAAAGGCTTTGGGGTAGGGAGAGACTTCCAAAAAGTCCTAAGCCAGACTCAACACATACATGCTCAAAACAATCACACAGCAATAAAAGATGATGTGACTATGATCTTACACGATGACTGAACCAGAGTTTACAAACTACAAAGGTGGGGCTCACATACCATAAAACATTAAAATGTAGCATGTTGCATGAACCCAGTCCAAAGCACTAATCCCAATTCTGGAGGCCTACACAAGCCCAGAGTACTTGTAATGAGACCATGCCATTCCTGCTTCTTAGAGGAAAAAAACTCAAAGCAGAAATTGGACATTCCAACTTTCCGAGTCTCTATTTCCTCACCTGCAGTGTTTTTGAGATGCGTGCCTTTGTGGCCTCGTTGACTTGGGTCTGCCGGACACGGCCACTGCCTGATTTGCCCAAGTGGCCAAGACTGAACCCAAGGTCTTCTTGGTAAGCATCTTCTTCAATCTAGAAAAGGCATGGGGATGAGAAGAAGTGAAGTAAATAATGTATTTATGTCATTTCTATACCACCAAAAGATTCCCTTCAGTTTACAAAAGCTATAATCAAATGAACCAGATGGGCTGGTTCTACCTTAAGTAGATGGTCCTTCAGTTACCCATATAGATACAGCATTTTAGATTACAACCAGCCCTTTGAATTGTACTCAAGAGCCTATTGGTAGCTAATGCTACACATAAGTACTGAAGTTACACGGCACTGGTAAATGAACTGCTGCATTTCACACCAACTGCATATTCTGGGTAGTCTCCAAAATGTGTTGTAAAGTATACTACAATAGTTGATTTGAGAGGTAATAAGGGCATAGGTAGTTGTTGACAGGGAATCGTGCTCCAGGAAAGGCTACAAAACTGGTGCATGCAGCCATCTTGGTCTCAGCCTCCCCTATCTAGCAGCAGTTGAACCCCCAAGTTGTAGAGCTGGTGCTGCAGGAGGAATGCTTCCCAATCCAGAATCATCAGAAGCAAAGCTCAGGCATGGATATTTGAGTATCAGCTTGAAAGATTTATTGCCCCTTTTTTTTGTCAGATTAGTTCACCTGGAGGCAGAAATGTTTTTTTAATCTGCATTCTCAATTCAAATACATACATTCAGAAAGCAGCCCTGCACATTATGAATGTAGCTGGGCCTTGCACAGACAGAAGAGAGCAACCAAGTCCTGGTAGCCACTTACAAGTGTAACAAACACCAAGCGGTCTGCTCATTGTTTACAGATTCATTTCACACTTTATATTGTTTTTCTAGTTATTCCATGACGAAAGAACTGGAAAACCTAGAGATTCACAGCCATGTACAACAATGAGACACATTTGTATTTCACTGTACAGAAAGTGGCAGATGTGGCATTTCTGAGCATACATGTTTCTGAGCCTCTATATGCAAAATCAGAACTGCATAAATATGTTTTCTTAGCTTGTTGTAAAGTGTGATATAGCCCCGAGGTGACTCCCCAGAAGAGTTCTCTCAATCTATCATACCAAGGCAACACTAGTAAACAGAAGTCAGAAATCCTCATTTCTGCTCTTGCCCTCGCTTGGAATTAGATAACCAGGCATCCTCAAAGACATATGAAGAAATAAAACAACTTTCCATACATAACTTGGCATTCCTCAGATGTGGACAATGATAATTCAATACGTTTGAAAGCAACAGATAGAGAAATGCTCTTCTGCAAAATCTCATACCTCTCCAAAGCTCATCCTGTTTGCCTGTTTCCGGATTTCTGTTAAGCCAAGACGCTCTTTCATCTTACGATACCTGAAGCAGGAGATAAAGTTTAAAAAAAAAAAAAATTCAAACTGAAAAATGCACAGGAGCAAGTTCGTTATGTTACAATCAATGCTAGTCTATGACTGTATTAAGACTGATTTGATTTAGATTATAACCTAGGGCTTATATATAAATTCAGGTGAGTTGTGCTCTGAATATCAGAATCCCTGGGAATGGATGCCTAATTTCTGTACATTTAATCTCCCACCCTTTCCAAATACTTGGATCCAATTCTTAGCTCACCGACAACAAAAAAATGTATATCCTGAGATAAAATAGACGCAAAGCTATATTTTCAAATATGAAAGTTCTGCATTTTTATCTTTCTTTACTGAAGAAACAGTAGAAGAAATGCTGATATAGGGAGTCTGCTACCGGTGAGGTGGGAGAACTGACACCTGCAGCTTCTGGGGACACTGCAGCCAAAAGGCAGCTGGATGGGGGATCCAGACTGCCCATAATTCTCTCTGGATGAAAGAGAGATCTTGAGATTACCCTCATGCATTCCGGACAGCTGTTTTTTGGGGGGTGGGTGAGTCGGCAGCAGAAACTGTTGTTTTTGCAGCCACTCGTGATCAGCTGAGAGTCGTGGGTTTCATCATGCTCTGAGCCGTTAGCATAGCCTTTTTAAGGACTCAAAGTTCATCCAAACCTCATCTTTTTAATTATCTTGGAGTTTAATTTTTTTTCTTACTATTTTATTAAGATTGAAAAACCTTCAGAGCTGCAAGCTAGACATTTGCTGGGTGAGTGTTCTTCAATCCATTTGAAAAGGAAGAAAATGACATGTTTCCACCTTTGTAAGATCTTCATTTTTTGTAATATATAACCAAAGGGGAATTATACTGTTGTTCTTTGGAAAGTTTTTAAACGCCAAGGATTTGGAAGAAATTGATTTAAAGAAAGACTTGGAAGTTAATTAAAAAGATCCTCTCGTGTGGGAAAAAGCTTTGTGTTTACATTTTGACCTGATAACAAAGCCTTGAAGGTTAATCACTAGAGAGCACCAGATGGCCACCTTCAAGGAAACATTTTTTAAATTAACTCAAGAAATCCTAGGAATATTTAACCCTATATTGTAACCAAAAATTGCTACTGAGTAGAACCAAGTCCCCTGGAAAATAACTGAAATGGATTTTAAGGTGGACTTAAAAATTATAACTTATAAGAAAGAGGTGGTAATATTGGATTTACAAATGGAATTGGATGATCATTTGAAAATCAAAAAAGACATAAAAATAATATACTGAAAGAGGGATATTGATAACCTGTTTAAATTGGAATATAAAAGACTTAACAGGAATGGCTATACTGAAAATACATCTGGACTTTGATAAAGTTGACAAGGATTTCGAGAGAACAGACAAAAATACTAGAAGAAAAAATATAAAACTGGTTTATTTGATTATGGTTAAGTAATTGGTTTGCAATATGCGTGTTACTATTTTTGGCATACAAATAAGGGGTTATTATTTCTGGTAATGTTGAATTGTTAATTGGGTTTAATTATGGGTTTTTGTAATGTTGAATTGTCAGTTGGGATGAGATTTTGATTACTAAGAGAGGGATTAGGGGGATTATGTTTAAATGGAAAGGGGAACTAAATGCTTATGCTGTGAGTTATGTCTGTTAATCTTTATACCTTTTGTTGATTAGTAAGGAGAGCTGTGGATTTAGAGTGGCATTCACAGAAAACAGGGTGAAGTATGGAATGAAGATACATTTGGTAGTATTTAAGAGACAGTGATACAGTGGGGCAAAGAAGTATTTAGTCAGCCACCAATTGTGCAGGTTCTCCCACTTAAAAAGATGAGAGAGGCCTGT